TTTTTTTTTTTTTAACCTAAGGATATTTATGGGAAATTATTTTGATTTCAAATATGTATATTGAAACTGTAGCCACAAATGAAGTCCAAGGAGTTTTTAAAAAGTATAAACCTGATTTCTTGTTGTCGTTATTGTCAACTTCATGTCAAAATGTAAGATGAAAACTGCACTCCTACGACTGACGAGAGTATTTATGGTTAATGCTGGAGCATCGTAAGCCAACATATTGCAAAAACAGCATCAGTTTCTTATTGTAATCACTCACTTCCTTTCATCTCCCATGTTAGACTCTGAAATTAGAAGTACAGTCTCCTCCTTGGTGATAAGGGTGAAAAAGGAATACCTTTAAAAAAAATCTTTGAGACACCTTGATAATCATCTTGTTCCAGTCTCCTATTTTATTTATAGAAGTTGGGGGTCTGCAGAGGTGAAAATTCTTGCCAGTGCTATATATTAGCTGTGTTGCCAACTTAAAATTAAGATTTTTATCGAGCTTGCTTTCTCCTGTTCTTTTCTCCTATCATTACATAATCATTTTGAGGTTGGTTACATTCAGTCATCATGATGATACTGTAGTGTTTTGATTCTTTGTATGTAAGATTATTTTTTTTTCCCTTTCATCTGAAGTTCTATTACCAACCTCCAGGGACATGATGGAATTTGTGTTTGATATAATTATGAAGATGTGGGTTGGCTAACTAAAGGACTGTGACTGCATACCATATTTTGCATGTTGTTGGCATTTGCTCTTAAACTGCTTAAACTGCTGCCATTTCTTCATAAACCTATTGTCTTCAGCCCTCCCCGCACTACCTTCCTGAGTTCAAAAAACTCTGCTTAGAACACATAAGGGGAAGAAAAAGGCAGGGTTTTTCCTATACATAGTTTACAATTTTTATTATAAAACTTTTAACTTATTTTCTTTACAAAAAAAAAAAAAAACACAACTTTTTTTTTTAAACCCAGTTCTCTAGGGTACCATTTTCTTCTTTTTCTCTTTTCTGTATTTCCTTGTTTGCTTTATATTCTATTACCTGATCATTTTGTCTTTCTTTTGCTCCATATTTGATGCTCTACCTGCAGTGTCTTCCATTGGGTATAAGTGAGTAAGGGAGAATTTGCATTACATTTTTAACCACAGACTATGCAGAATTTGGGGGCTTTTTTTTTTTTGGCCCAACTTTTTTGACTTGAAGAAAATTATATAATGTAAAATTATAATATAAAAATATTTCCTATTCACATTAAATCTGAAACACATATAAGCTTATATGAAAATGTCTATGTAGCAAGTAACTTTTTACATTGCATATCATCACAGGAAAAATGTAAAACTCTTCTCACATTTTAGTGATTTTCACAGAAGAATGAGCTCAAACTTGCAGTTATTTTAAAATAGGCAGGTTATGTCCGCCTTTGAAAATATGGAGTTCACATCAAAGAGCCATGATTTACAAGCAGTATTCTCGTAGGGGCCAGAAATTTAAATATAGCAATTATATTTCCAGATATTAGTGCCAGAGGTTATAGTTTTTATTTTAAGACAGAGATAGACCACTTCCATTTTAGGACATGTCAACTCAAACTTGACCTTGAATCTACACATTCCATGCCAGGTCATCATACCTGACTGAAAATGGAATTTAATGTTGAAAGAGTAAAGGTATTGAACAACATCTGCTAGACACATTATGAACAGTGTTTTATTATATGTTGATTGTGAATGTTCTTGAACCCATTGTTGTACATTCTAGTTTGTGTGGTACTAATGTTTTAAAACATAATTGCTTTAGTGAAGAAAGGAGAAAGTTGACAGGAAAAAAACAATAATATAGTATGTAGTGTGTGTCTGTGTGTGTGCATCATCAAATTGTAATGTTCTTCAACTTTACCTTCTTTCAGCTTTTTACCATTCCTAATATGTCTCCCTTTACTTCTTAGATGCTTCCCCCCTGCCCAAAGGGGGAGAAACCTGCTTAAAGTTCCAAACAATACTGCAGAATTACCAAAAAACATGATGGACAAAAATTGTATAACAGTGTGGAATGCCTGCAGATTTTAGTTCTTTCTGGATTAAAAGCTCAATATTGTTTGCTAGTTGTTTAAATAGCGATTTGTTTTCAATTTATCAAGATTACATAAGTAATATGATAGTTTGGTAGTTTCAGGAAACTGATTATAATTATGTTTATTTCTATGATTCTCATTATACTGTTTTATTTTATAAGTAATAAACATGTTTGTAGTGAAGATGGGCTATTAACTCCAAGTAAACTGAACTGCAGATTCCTACATGACTTTGATTTCATAGAAGAGCATTTACTTACTGACTAAACTTAGATTTAAAGTAGTAATCATTTCCACCTAAAAATCATCACCATATCAAAAACAAGGGTAGTCATAGATTAGGGTAACCTTTGTACCCCCAAATAGGGCCAATTCTTGCCTTTTCATTTGTTTTCACCAAAGATAGGCTTACTTTCAGCTCTGTATCATCTTCAGGTTCTGTAACGGTTGATCTCTACATTGTTTTCAATTTAACAAAATCACTTGAAACTCTACAGTTACATTACTTGTCAGTTTAACTTTTTTTTATCCAATTATATAAATTTATTAATGTAATTCATGTGAATTTTAGAATTCTCAGAAAGGTGTGTTCCATTTCAACAAACATAGGAATTTGACACTATAAAATCTCCATAGTTGTTTGCATTATATAATCAACTTTAATTCCACTCAAGAATTAGGTAAAACAATAAGCAAAAATCCGCCCCACCAGGACATTGGAATTTGCTTACATTATTTTCTCTTTGGTAGAAAGGGAATGTACAAAAGTAACACATCCAAAATGCCTGGTAACCAGTGTCAATTAAAGACCAATTAGAATATATAAGATATAACACATAGATTAGAAATATCTTTTACTTTTGTCATGTATTACTTGGATACAACTTTTCAGGACTCTATGTCCTATATAGTGTGTGGTATACAAATAGACTATTGAGAAATACTGTGTCAATATTCATGAAATTGTATGTCCTTGAAGCTTTCTTTCAGTCACTAAACCATGTTTGTATTCCCTCCAGGTTTCCTATAATATAGTGTTTCATATGCACTTTATTTCTCCCTTGAAATTGGAAGCAAAAATTTTTAATGCAGACACTATCTCGATTCCTTAAAAAAAAAAAAGTTTTTTAATGAATAAATACTAGATACAGGTCCTTTTATGCTGCTACTAAGGGTTTAGTCACTCATCTATTATTTTAATAATTCAGAATCTTCCCGAACTAGTTTTCTTTGCAATCCTTATGACTTGGACATTGGCCAGTTTGAGCAGGACAGTTCTTAGGTGTTCAAGAGCTGGCCTTGTCTGTGCACTGTAGTCTAGTTGTGATCATAACAGTGGTGGCATTTGGTGGGCTGGTACCTTTTGGAATTGATCTCCGGTGCTGTGAATTCAGGTCCTAATAGTTTAATGGTAGAACTGATTTGTTTTTTGTAGCTGATTATAGTATACTACCATGTCTTATGTTTTCCGACAGATTTTGGTGTATGAAAAGTAATATCCCACCCCAAATCTGAAAAAGTTGTCATTTAATGCTGAGAGACTGAAGATTCTAGTCAAATGGTGTTTTAAAGGAGTTCTCTGGGAGGTAGTCTATATCTGTGTCTTTTTGTATAACTTGAAATGAATGAGACAGTTGGCATGCTGATTCTATTTGTTGGTTTAGGTTCTGGGCAGAGGACACGGAGTACTGACTGATGTGCCTAATTTGAAATATTCTTTTCCCAGGACGGTTCAGGATAAAACTCTTATTGTTGCTGAGAAAGTGGTTTTTATTTGGTGTGCCCTTTCCTCATGCTTTATTCAACTTAATTGTCTGTCAATAAGTTAAGAAGTGAAAATATATCTCCTAGAAACTCTCACTCATTAAACCAATTGCCTGTCTCTTTTCTTGGATTCCTTCCTTCCCTCTTTAGCCCTAACGCCACCTCACCCCCCCTCCCAAAATATGGCCTATTTACCAAAAGTTGGTTCCCATTGAGTAGAACTTGATTTTAGTTGCATGACATTTTTTTTTTTTAAATATTTGCAGTTTCTTTGATCAGTAAACCATTAGGTAAAATCTCTGTTCTCACATTATCATGGTTTAACTGTGTGAGAAATAAGATATGTGAATATTCAATGGGATCAGAGGCTTAGTTGAAGTTTGGAAAAATGCCTAAAAATTTGCATTTGAAACTTAGTGCAGACTTTCTTTGATTAAAAAATCTAGGTTTTCGAGTATATGTCTCCATATTATTTAATTCCGTTAAGCTGCCTGTTCTTCAAAGGGATCAAATCTTTCATAGGAAGGTTGAATTGAACAAATGTTGTGTTTGTGTACTGTATTTTGAACTGCCACCATTTGGTGTCACTGTAGGGCAGGGCTTTTAAACTTTTTGCAGTAGAGACCTCCATTTTTTTTTTTTTTAATCAAAAAAAAAAAAAATGTTGTAGGAAGTTTATGCATATTTCCCTGCATTAAAAATGCCTTGTTTTAAATTATACCCTAATATTCTTGTTGTAAAACATTCAAATAACATATAAAAATGGTGAATACAATGTGGAAGTTCCTTGTATCTCACTAACTCACTGCATTCCACACAGAATACAAAATTATTTTTAACATTTTGTTGGATTTCCAATCCTGTTTCTTTGTACTCACAAATGTGTGCGTGTTCATATGAACATTTAGAATAAAACTACTCTGAAACTTTTTCATTATAAAAAATATGTTTTGGAGATCTTTATTCTCATGATGTACCGGTTTTAGATTCTTATGTGGTATTTCATGGTCTCTAACAATG